GATATCAGTCTGTGGGGGAGTCACAGTCGGGGAGGGGGCAGTAGCACGACCCCCAGCGACTGCTTTGAACTCATCTTTGGCATCATTAGTGCATGATGACAGTGATTAGAGGAGAGAGGGCCACCATGCCAATTTTCATACAGAAAAACAAGACAAGAAGAGCGGGACAACTGCATCGCTCATATGCAAAGTGCCCCGGGCCCCGAACTCTTCGCTCAATGGACACTGAACTAAAGGAACTCTCCCCTTTTGGATAGAAACAGAAGTTTGTCAGTATCAGACCAGTGTTGCAGTAACTATGGCATTTTAAAGCTTCAAATTCTGACCTGAAATTACAACCATTGGCATTTTTTATCTACAAAACTGCAGAGCCTGAAGTGTGCCACTTGAATAACTATACTTTAAGCATGTTTAATGATAATTAATTAATAATTCGATCAATTTAAAAAAGCTATTATAACTTTGTGAAATACATTAGCATTTCAATTATGCTTTGTGAAACTTAAAGGGAAAAAAATAATAACACAAAAATCATTAATTGAATGAGAGATCTGAGAGCTGCATCTGTGGGTTGGACTCTTAATTAATTGATAGGTGACACACTGTTTACACGTCTTTTGATCAAAGAGATCCCTAAATGGAAACTGGAAATGTTAAAGCAGGAAACAAATAAACTCAATATGTAATGTGTCAGCTGCATTAGTAAACTACCATAAAACTTCTAATAATAGCCCGGGTGTTTATTTGCTTAAATGACTGATCTCACCCTGCCTGTATTGGGGACAGACGTCTATATGGACACTTAGACCAGGCCTCTAATTGACACCAAAACACGTAGCCACACCAGGCTAGTAAAGGAGAATTTGAAAGCTTTTTAAAAATAGTTTTGCGATTCCATTTTAAAATCTAATCATCATTTCATCATTTAAATACAGAATAATAATTCATTATATTTTTATTCGGGAAAAAAAAGTCACCACAAGGTTCATTTCGTAGCTTTCAACCAAATCACATGGAATTTACCATAGCGGTATTTAAGCTACAGTTAAATTAATACTTTTTTGATAGGTAATCACAGTAAAAGTTTATAGTTATTCTGGTAGTAGTGCATAATAGTGTGGTATCATGTTGGACAAATAAATGGGAACTGTTTGCTCTGTGGTCCTTTCCTGGTTAAATTATTGTCTAAGAATAATAAGTATTTTCTTTGCAACATCAACAAAGCATTTATTTTAAAAGTCACCACTGGACCTGTTTAGTGGCTGTGATTTCACTAGTTAACATTTAGTGGCTGCATTCAAATGGAACAAAAAGACTTGTGCTACGTTTATAAGGTTTATAAAGCCTCTTCAAGTGGGTAGACTGTACAATTACTTCAAGGAAAGCTAATTTACAGGAAAGTATTTATTTGATTGCTACACAGTATACACTTTGACCTGCTAGTGTAAACTCACAGGCCTACAACAAAGTTCCTGGAATTGACGGGTATTTGAAAGGTACTTCCAAAGTATTTACACAGTGAAACTCAAGCTGTTACAGCTTAAACCTTTTACGACTTCAGTGGAATAATTCAACTGGAATCTTTAGCCGGAATTTCTTGTTTTAAAGTGCTTCTTAGCTGTTATTGATATACCTAGTTAGTTATCGTAATAATTTTGTAACTTTCTCAGGTGTCTGACCACTTGTGTCGTCCATATAGAAGAAAAGAAGAATTTGGAACAAGATAGCAAAATAAAGAATTTATATTTGAATATGCTTCATTATTGTGATAACTATTCTTTCCACATATTTACCTGTTGACCTATTCAGTTGCAGCAGAGCGACTAGTGTATCTCACGATAAGTCAACATATCAATAGCCTGAGGTGCCCTGTTGGTCTGAGGGTTAAGGCGTTGACCATCAACTTGTTGCATGTCTTGATCTCTCTCTCTCTTTCTCACATTTTCTCTGTAAATCTGTATCTAATAAAGGCTTACAACATGCACACATCAGAGATTGTTTCTGTCCCATTCTCCTTAATGGGGGAATTATATAGGCTGTTACTGGAAAGTTGCCAACCTACATCTCTTCCATCCTCTGGACCTTACTAAACATGGTCCAATGACTGGCTTTCACTACAAGTTCCTCAAGTTCATCGGGAGATCTGCTTTTAATTTTTGTTGGAAAATTTTTATTCAGAATTACCCTTTTTTTATTTATGCTCCTAGTACTCTGGAATTCTTTACAAAGTCCAATACTCTTGTACCCCTTTAAATTTAAATCCATGATCAAAAGTTATCCAACATCTGTTTCCACTTGAATTGTTTTGTATCTTGTATGATCTGCAATTTTATAGTTGTTTCATTTACTTGTTTTCTTTCATCTTTTATCTTCTATAAGTGTTTTAATTCATTTTAAAAATGTTAATTCGATTCAATTGTATTTGTATAGAACCAATTCATAGCAAAAGTTATCTCAGGACTCTTTTCAAACCGTACTCCTTAAAAAAATATTTACAGTGGCCCAACCATTCCCACTATGAGCGAGCACTTGGCGACAGCGGCAAGGAAAAACTTTTAAGAGACAGAAACCTCAAGCAGACCCCGGCTCTAGGTGGGCGGCCGTCTGCCTCGACTGGTTGGGATTAGAGAGAGAGAGAGAGAGGGTGTAGAGAGGGGTGGGCGTGGGAGATGTACCGCAGCAATAGTAGTAACAATAACAACAACTATAATAATAAT